CAACTGGAGTTACTGACCGTTTTTACCTGCCATGTGGGTGCTGGGATTTGAACCCGGGTCTCTGCAAGAACAGCCAGTGTTCTTAAGCGCTGAGCCATCTCTCCAGCTCCTTGACTTGAACTCTTTATTGAATTTTATGTGTATGAGTGTTTTGCCTAAGTGTGTGTAAAGTGCACATGTATGCAGTGCCTGTGGAGGCCAGAAAATGGCATTGAATCCCCTGAACTAGTGTTTTGGACAGTTGTTAGCTGTCATGTGGGTGCTAGAAAGTGAACCTGGGTTCTCTACAAGAGCAGCCGGTGCTCTTAACCACTGACCCATCTCTCCAGCCCCTGTAACTTGCATTCCTAGGTCTTCTATCTGTTCTTCCCTCTACTTTTACCTTTCTTCGTTTGTCTTTACTGATCTGTTTTTATTGTTGGGGAATGAATGTGTTATGATGGTAAAATTAGAAATGAGAAAGCTGCATCTCTGCATTTAACTCTCTGTTAAGTGAGTTTGCTTTGCTTAGGGGCACAAGTGCTGGCTGGTTTCTATGTGTTATCTCAATATTCAGCCCCTTCTGCTACTGGAACAAATTGAGTGGCCATTTTGGTGCATTAACGCCATGTCATTCCAATGCACCACTGCCAAAGGGTGCCAAAGGGACCCTTAAATTGTACTGTTTTTTGTTTTTATTATTTTTCAATATAATGAAAATGATTTCATTTTACTAAGAAATTACCTAGATTTAATCTGGATGGCTTTATGTGGGATTGCACATGCTTGGTTTCCAGTATGTCACAATCTTCCTTATTTCTCTTTTATCTTTGAAGACTCCTTCTCAGTTGTCCTTTTTGATTCTTCATCATTGATTTCCTACATACATGTTGGCATTCTTCAAAGTTGGTCTTAGCCTCCTCCTACCATGTCTTGAGCTTCTCTTGAAGTCAGCTTCTGTTGCATTCTAGTTCCCACTTTCCTTCCATTTCATCTCTCATTACACTGATTTCTACCTATAAATTAGTATCTTCATCTGATGCCTTTGAAGTATTTCATAACCCACTTGACGTTGTCTTTTCCCACTATCCCAGTTACTGATTTGCTTCCATTTTTGGATATGACAAGCTGACATTCCTATTGGTTCCTTGCTCCAACTCTTAATCAAAATTTTTTTTTTTTTGCTGGGCATGGTGGTGAATACCTTTAATCCCAGCAGAGGTAGAGGTAGGTGGAACTCTGTGAGATGGAGGTCAGCCTGGTCTACATAGCAGGTTTCAGGCTAGCTGAGGATATAGGCAGACCTTGTATTTTAAAAAAAAATCTTTCTTTTCTTTCTTTCCTTTTTTAAAATTTTATTTGCTAAAGACCATTTTTCTTTAGACTTCACAAAGGTCATACCTAACAAACTGTCAAATCCCATCTCTCCCAATCTCCAGTGTAAATTAAGTACCTCTACTACTAATGTATTCTTCTAGCAACTTCCATTTTCCCTTTATATAACAACACATTTTGCAGTTATGCATTTATTTAATTTCACTTTTGTTACATTTAAAAAAAATTTTAAAATTTAATAACCACATGATTAGAAGAAGCATTTCATTACAGCTTTAACATATTCAGTAACACATTCCAGAGAAAGGATACATCTCTTTCAAAGGTGGCTATAAATTTTTAGGTTCACAGTTGATTTAATACAGTCATACAATATTGAACTCAGTATAAACCCTGTAAGACATTAAATTGAATGAGTTTTTACACTTTAAAGAAGATTTCCATTTCATTTTAAGATATGCTGTTTCCTACATTTTTACTGCTACTAACACATGTTTCCATAATCTCTATGTATCTGATTATTACTAGTCACAGTTGGTTACACTCAGATTCTTAGTACCTGAGTATGGATACAAAGTCATCAGGTAGATTTCACTGGTAATGTTTATTACCTCTACTATTTAACATGAAGCAAATTTAAAAAACATTTTTTAGTAACTACATGATTAGAAGAAGCATTTCATTAAAGCTTTAACATATCCAGTAACACACTCCAGAGCAAGAGTATATCTCTTTCACAAATGGCTGTAAGTTTCTAGGTTCACAGTTGAATTAACACAGTTATACAATATTGAACTCAGTATAAGCCTTGTAAGACATAAAATCGGATGAGTTTTTAACTTTTAAAAAAGATCTCCATTTCATTTTAGAATATATTGTTCCTTGCAGAAAGACTCATCGTTTTTGCTACTAACATTGAGATGTTGGCACATGCATCCCTAATCTGTATGTATCTGATCATTACTAGTCATAATCAGTTGCACTTGGATCCTTGGTGCCTGTGTATGTCTATAAAGTCATTGGGTATATTTCAATGGTAATGTTTATCACCTCTTCCAATTAACATGACGTAAATTTCCATGCTTCCTTCCTCAAATATAGCACTTTTAAATTTGTTCATTTGTGTGTGTGTGTGTGTGTGTGTGTGTATCACATGGAACATCCCAAACCATCTTATTCAACTATACACCCACTTCTCAGTTGGCACCCTCCCATAGCCTCCCTCCCCCTGACTAGAGCCCTTATACTCTGACATCCCTGCTACCGTCTACTGTGTTGTTGGCACCCCTAGCCATTCACAACTACTTGTCCATCTGGTGAATCTAGTCAGTCTATCTAGAGGTATTTGTTTTAGGAAGGTCAGCTGTTCCTCATCTACCAGCAATCAGTTGTCAATATTCCTTTAGATAAGATTGGGGGGTGCTGTTCATTTTCCCAGTTCTTTGCTGGGTTACTATCTGGGAGTCCTTTTGGCCACCCTGGAAAACAACTCAAAAGAAGGTATCTCCTATCTGGCATTGTTGCTTGTTATGTAGCCTTTACCTATACATATGGACTCTTAAAAAATTGTATTGGCCCCTTTAATCTTTGGTTATACTTTCCTTTTGGGTGTTTAAGGCCATACAGTTGGCCTAGATAAACCAATTTATTTTTACTCTTAAGGTCGTTTGAGGATCTGTTCCTCAGGGGTCACAAGGGCTTGGGGGGAGACCCTGGCTCCTTTCTTCTACCAGTCGGCCTATGTGAAGATAAGTCAAAGTTCCTCCTCGACCATCAATGGCTTCGCTTGAAAGCATGGAGGAAATGATTCCTCTCTGTTGACCCTCCTCTTTGTAGACTGGACACTGGTTCAAGTCCATCTCATGGGGTCTTCTCAGCCTCCTTGATCAAGAGGACAGGTGACTCACCACAATTACAGGACGTTTTGAGTGATACTCATAGTCCCCTGGAACTAGTCGACCTAGGATGGCAAGGAGCAAAAACTGTCCTTTATGTCCCTCTGACCAAATTATTATAGGCCTCAAAGTATGTCTCTTAAACATCCAGGAAGGTTCTCTTCTATCAAGCCAATGGTTCTCAGTTGTGGCTGCAATTTAGAATCAGATGGGAACTTACATTTTTAATGTCAATATGTGTATTCCATCACAACCAGTTGAATATTTATGTGTGGCGCCACGACTCCTGAATTCAGATGATTTTGACATGAGCTGTGAGTTGACCACCACAGCACTAGACAGTGAGCCCCTTCCTGGGGGGTAAGGCCATTTTTTTTCTTTTTCACTCATTACCCAATATAGTGCCTGTCTGAGAGTATTCAAAATGCTTGTTGCTTTGTTAAATAAACAATTTTCAAGTCTTACTGTCGTGCTTGACATTCTTCCTGGAACACCCTATCTGCTGTACTCAGGCAGTCTGTTTCTTTTTACCATGTTCAATTTCTTTTCTGACATGCAGTATGAATATCTTCAGGAAGTCTTGCGATTAGCATGGAGAGGCTCTTGCCCTTATATTATGGCCTCTAGCACTGTGTTCACTTTCACATGACTTTGGAATGAAGTGGGTACTTCATTCTGCTGTGAATTTCCCACAGTCTTGGGTCATCCACAGTTTCTTTGTATTGTTCATCTTCTTTTATTTAAAACAATTCTTTCTGTTTAAAATTTTTATGAAAGTATATATTATGTGTTGAATATATCCCCTGTACCTTGCATCCCTTCTTGCACCCCACCCTCTTAGTCTCCTTTGTTCTTTAGGACATGTCTGCTTCTACTCTTGTGTCATTATACATACACAGAATTTAATATTCTATTTTGAAATTTTGATTATCAACTTCACCATTGTGTTAGTTTCTTTAGATATGAAACTCAGAATCATCATACTTTCTCATTTTTGGACATGATCTTGCTGTGTAAAAAAGGTCGGCCCCTGCCGACCTTGAACTTGTGATCCTCCTGCCTCAGCCTCCTGAGTTCTGTGATTATAGGCATGTGCTACCATGTTCTTAATCTTAAGGTAATGATTAGAGGTGGATGTAGTGCTCATGCCTTTAATCTTAGCATGTGGAGACAGAAGTAGAAGTACGCCTACCTCTATGAGTTTTAGGCTGGCTTATTCTACATAACAAGTTCAAGGTCAGCTAGGACTGCATACTGTGACCTATCAATCTGTATAGAAAGATAGGCACAATATTATTCTTGGTGGTAGAATTTTGTTTTTGTGGTTTGTATGCGTATAATGAATATGCATTACTTTTGTATCATCAAATGCACATTAAACATTTAAAAATTTTGGCATTGATTATCTACTAACTGTGTGAACAAAGTAGCAGTAATCAACTGTTTGCCAAAGACACAGAAAGGGTAGAAGCACCTATAGTGTCTATAACTTATCTTTCATTTAAAATATTTAGAATTAATGGGCTTTCATGATTGGTAATTTACACTTATACAAAGTAGATTTTCAGACAACTTACATGTCTATCTTATGCTCTATATATTAAAAATCAATATTATCTTGTTCCATTTTTAACTCCAAGAGTGTGTTATTGCATTACAGAACTATATATCATAATTTTTTATATTATGGAACTCACCCTGGACAGATTTTATTTCAACTACACTCTAGAGCTAGGTCTTAATTCTTCAAATGCATTATTAGCTGTGCACTTGAAAATAGTATGCACTTACCCTTTTGCAGGCAAAGTCACCAGGTAATAAACAATGGATTTCAATTTTAGCAGTATGTCATAAATCATCTGGGTATCACAACCCTATATAAAGAGAAAAATAATTTTATAGACACAGATAAAAGAAAAGTTCCAAATTATTTGAAAAACAATAGAAATAAAGAGTAATTAACATCTCTCTTCATCCCCAAATGCTAATTTACAATGGCTATTTACTTGCCTTGACTCAAAATCTCTAGATAGAGATTCCAATATTGTCATGACAACAGTTTGGAACGTGGTCAGATAAGCTTTGGGGTGAATCTTGTCTCTACCACCTATTATTATGCAATTATGCTCTCAGTTCCCCAAACTGTAAAATAGTTATTAAAAAGCATTTGTGCTGGGTGAGGCAACATACACCTTTAGTCCCAGCACTCGGGAGGCAGAGGCAGGCAGATTTCTGTGAGTTCAAGGCCAGCCTGTAAATGAAACTTTACATAGTGTTTAATTAATGACAGCTATTAATGATTATGATTATTAGTATATTTGAATTAACATAGCCCAAAACATTTGCTAAATGTTTTACTTTTGTATAATACTCTTGATACCATTTCTGATAGTATTTAACTCTTCAAGCTTATGTCTTTCTTCCCCAACATAGTTATTATCCTCTTAATAGTAGAGAAAATGTACATAATAGGCATGAAAGTAGTATCTGCCAAGGATACACCTATTTTCACTTAGTTTAATAGAGTTGGAAATACATCTTATTTGCTAGAATATGTGTCTGTGTGTTGAGTCAAAACATTTTTTATTTTATGTGATGAATATTATGCCTGCATGTGTGTAAATGCACCCATGTTGTGCAATGCCCATGGAGGACAGAAGAGGGCCTCAGATCCCCTGAAATTGGAGCTAAGGATGGTTTTTAGCTACCATGTAGGTGCTGGAATTCAAACCTGGGTCTTCTCCAGGAACAGCCGGTGTTCTTAACTGTTGAGTCATCTCTCCAGCCCAAGTCAAAACATTTATATGATAAGCTAATTAAATAGATGCTTCAGAAATTTCACTTTACATAATGGTTTGGAATCATTTGCTTTCACTAGATGTTTTCTCTTTTTTCCCTCAGAACCAGTGATGTGTAGTGTCTTTTTTGTGTGGTTAGTTGTGCTCATCCCTTGTAGGAGGGGGCCCGTGAGTATCTTCCAGAATACCAGATCTGGTAACTTCTGTACAGGTGCGCTATCATTACGCAGCCAACTTCCCCAAACTGCTAACCTGATATCTGCCACTTGGGCTAGAGACAGATGACGCGATGGTCACACCAATGGACAATACATAGCTCAGACTTAGGGCCAATAAGGGAGGTTCGGGGGGTATAAAGGAAAACCCTTTGTATGCAATAAACGAGCTTGCTGGCAACCTGCTACTGACTAGCATCTCCCGAAGTCTGAGTCATTGATTTCGCACCTACTCATCCCCTGCCCCCCAAGATGGAGGTCTGACCACCACGAAACACAGAACAGTCCCTTAGGAGAATTATAGTTTTGTGGCTAACTAATCATTAAATCAGTAGCAGAGGAGATGCAAGGAAACTGCCCCTAATTTGTAGATAGGATAATCATTCCTTTGGCAATCGCTGATACTGTTTTTTGTAATGGAATTAGTGGCAGGCCGATGACCTAGATCTATATGAGATATTAACCTCCAAGTTGCTTAGTTGATAAGGAAAACTAATCTGAGAAGCATTTTGATGAAGTTGGTGTTAGAATTTTAAAAATTCATTTGAATAAGCATAACTTTCAGTCCTTCAGAATAGAAAAAAAGACCCTTGGCAAAAGGAATACTTTTTTCATTTTCATAATTTATTTTTATTTATTTAGGTTTAAACATCAGGACTTTCAAAAAAAAAAGCTCAGAATTTGCCAGTATTTTACTTCCTCAGGGATATTTTTTAAAAGTAGGCCAATAAGTATTTAAGAGAAGCCCTTGTGAGCAAGGCTCTGTGGGTGCCTTCAGGGGAATTATAGACTAAAGAAAGGAAGTCTAGTTAGGAGGATGCAAAAAAAGAGAAAAGCTGTAACAACGTTTAAAGATAAGCATATCATAAAACATGCTACTAGGGGCTGGAGAGATGGCTCAGTGGTTAAGAGCACTGGCTGCTCTTGTAGAGGACCCAGGTTAGATTCCCAGCACCCACATGGCAGCTAACAACCACCTGTAATTCCTGTCACGAGCCACGACTCTGTCCAGCAGAGCCGAGGAAAGACGACACAGACACCAAGGTGAGGTTCAAGCTTCTTTTTCTCATTCTTCCTTTATTCTCTCTTTCTTCATTCTTTGTTTCTCTTTATTATCTCACCCACTATTCTTATTCTTCTCTATTATTACACACTTCAGCTCTTTATATAGCGTTTCCAACAGCCCTCCCCCCAGCCAGGACCAATCAGGGCACACACACGTGCAGCGGGCAGGCAGAGTGCAGCTCGTTGGCCACGTAGCAAGATCATCAGGCAGGCAGCACCTGTTCGGGCTCACCATGCTTCAGGGAGTTGGAGTAAACAAGCGAGGATCACGAGCCTTGGCAATCAGCCAAGAGTTGAAGTAAACAGCACGAGGTTTGGCAGCCAGCTAGGGCGCCATCTTTGGCTGGCTCGGCCGTGCTCACTCCCCACAATTCCAGTTCTAAGGGATCCAACACTCTCTTCTGATCTTTGCAAGCATTGCACTACATGGGTGAACTTACACACATATAGGCAATACATTCATACACATAAAATTAAAAAAGATAAAGAAATAAAATATTAAATAAGGCATTCCCCTACATGTTCATAGAACTCTTGGGGTGGGGTGAAGTGCGGGTGTCACTTCTGTTTTTCTGGGGATGGGAAGGGAGAGGAGAGGAGAGGAGAGGAGAGGAGAGGAGAGGAGAGGAGAGGAAAAAAAAACGGGAGCCCCTTCCTAGGCCTGAGAGAGAGAGAGAGAGAGAGAGAGAGAGAGAGAGAGAGAATATCAAGGAAGTGCTGACATGGGTAGTAAATTAGTCATTTGAGAATGATTATGATTGTGTTTGCCGAGATGTACATAGGCCTTGAAAGGGGAAGTTAGCCCTTTATTTCTTAGTTATGCAGTTGCACGAAGTACATATTCTTTGCTCCTATGAATATGTTTTTCTTTGTTTACTTGTTTTTTTGTTTTTTTGAGACAGAGTCTCTCCGTAGCCCCAGCTAACCTGGAACTTGCTATGTCGATCAGGTTGGCCTCAGTTTCAGAGATCCATCTGCCTCTACCACCTGGGTGCTGGGATTAAAGGTGTGCACCACTATGTGTAGCCCTTTCTTTTTTTTTTAATGAAGTGTGATTATTTTGTATTTGGTAAAAATTCTCTAAGTAAATGGTTCATGTGCTTCATTTCTTTAAATGCCATCATTTTATAATGTTTCAATTCAGAAATTGGTATTCTGGTCATTCAAAACTCACTTAGGAAAAAAACCACAAACTTTAGATTGATCTTCTCCACTAAGGAAAATTTGTATCTTTGATGTTTTAAAGAAAATCCATTAGAAACATGCTTAGAAAATTTTGAATATATACAGTCATCTCTCTTGCTATCTGTGGAGAATTGGCTCAAGGGCCCCCCACAAACACCAGAATCTGTGGACAATCAAGTTCTGTATGTAAAATAGTGTGATATTTACATAGAATTATTCTCATCCTTCTGTATACTCTAAATTATCTCTATACTACTTATAGCTGTATACCTCACGTTAACTATTTGTAATGCAAAGTAAATGCCATGTAAAGAGTTCTTGTATTGTTTGGGGACTAATGCAAAGGGAAAAAGTCTGTCCATAATAAGTATGAATACATTTATTTTTGATAATATTTTTGATCCAAGGTTATTTGAAGCCATGGATACTGAACACAGATATGAAGACTCCACCTATATGTCTGGAATATTATTACAATAAAGCTATCACTCATTCACATCCACGAAGAAGATTTACATTGTAAATGATCAGAAATACAGTATCTCACAGTGAAACCTTGTAATTATTTTCATGTACAGACTTCTGGTATTAGTTTTTACAATCCTAAGTATTAGCTACGAGTCAAATAAAATTTTCATTACTTGAACAATTCTTATTGGAAGGTACTTTGATGAAAATTCCATCTATATTAAGTTGCATTCATAGAAATTATTAGAGAATTTAAATGCTATTTTCCACTGGCAGTAATTCAAATTACATGTATACACACATACATATACACATACATGTCTGTAGGGGAGTCATGAAATACTTCATGGCTTCAGCATTCATTTGAAATTCAAGTTTAACTTTCTCATACTGGAAGCAGGTCTTAGTCACCCTCGACAGTTTCTAGATCTGGCCTCTTCCCCATTCCTTATAGTGGTAGGTGGGATTATTTGCTTTACATAGCCATTGTTTAGTGGCTTGCCTACTGGATAACTAGATACAATCTACTTGCCTCACCTTACCTCCACATTCCCATGGACTGTGCAGATATACCAGTGACCACCTCAGTTACACTTGACTGCATGGAACTTATACCTGCTTGTTGTAAACCAACCAATTAGAACTCCCTCTGAGACCCCTGCCTACATCTAAAACACCTTGATCCTAGTAAATACTTTGGCCCACAGGTCTTCGTCCCTATGATTTCTCACTTGTTGGTTGGGCAGAAGCTGGAGTACCAGGACAGCACCTTGCTTCCCATTGATTCTCTGGGTTGTGCTGCCTTCTGGCTGGGATATGTAAGTAATAAAGCTGCCTTTATTGTTTCAGGGTTTTTGTTGTGCTTCTTCCTGTATGTTTCATATGATGAACATTCATACAGTTGACTTCTTTCCCAGTGTGCGCGCGCGTGTGTGCGTGCATGCGTGCGTAATAGGAAAGAGGTCTTGATAGCAATAAAATGAACACAGGCTAGACAGAGCCACCATGGTATGCCACCAAGTATGACAAGAACTACGTCAGATGGAAATTAATGATAAGATTTTGAGCATTTACTTGGGGTCAAAGACTATTTCCCCTGTAGATAAAGGGGAACTATTGTTTTCATTACTGAAAAAAGAGAAA